GTCTTTAGATGATGGTTGTAGTTTTCTTATTATTCAAGACCAGTTTTGTTTATTTTTCATAAATTAAGGCACTCGGTAGCTCAGCAGTAAGTTTTCGGGCTTATAACGCTAAAACTCGGGGTTCGATCTCTATGGTGAGCACGGAGCAGACGGTCCATTTATTCTCTATTTATGTCATGCGAAATAATTATTTGTTTGTTTGTTTTTAGAACAAAACCACTTTGAGCTGATTCGTTTGTCAACTGGTAACATTGAACAAACATTAACTCTACACCAGTCATCGTTCAACTGATTCGTTTGTCAACTGGTAACATTGAACAAACGTTAACTCTACACCAGTCATCGTTCAACTGATTCGTTTGTCAACTGGTAACATTGAACAAACATTAACTCTACACCAGCCATCGTTCAACTGATTCGTTTGTCAACTGGTAACATTGAACAAACATTAACTCGTTCACGACTACACAGTATTTCAATCAAAATCGACATGCAAAAGCCATTAAGATAAAACCTTTGAAGTACAGCTTAAAATGTTTTAACATGCTAAAACGTGCGGTAACGGGAAACAGTGAACACGCTGGAAAAACCAGTTTCCAAATTAAAATAAAAGATAACGCCCGGCGTAGTCAGGTGGTTAAGGGCGCTTAACTCGCAATCTGAGGGTAGTGGTTTCGAATCCTTCCCCCCACCAAATATGCTCGCCCTTTCAGCCGTGGGGGCGTTACAATGTTACCGTCAATCCCACTATTCGTTAGTAAAAGAGTAGCCTTCCCTCTAGTCTTTCACTGCATAATTAGGAACGTGTAGAGCAGATAGCCCGCGTGTATCTTTACACGAAATTCAAAACAGGCTAACACGATAAAACGCGCAGTAACGAGAAACAATGAACACGCTGGAAATCTAGTTTCCCAATTATTCATCCATAACATTAAACCTTATTTTATAATACGTTTTAAAAGAAATAAGATTTATTTAAATCTATCCAGATAGACGTCAGTCTTCTTTTCGTCTTTTAATGGTGTCGCAGAGTTAAAGAACGAGAATGGTGTGAAGATGGTTTAAACTTTATAGAAAATACATAATGAAATCTTTGAGACAATTGCGACCTAAAAGCGAAAATGCGATAGTGGACAGCACATCAGTGTAATTTAGATGAGTTCTGAAGAGATTACAAAAATATACATCGCGCTCACTGCGCTGAAGACATTCTTCCACCAAAATGAGAATACTCCCGTTGTTTAAAGAATATCCCGACAATACACATCGCGCGCACTACGTTGAAGACATTTTTCCACCAAAATGAGAATACTCCCGTTGTTTAAAGAATATCCCGACAATACACGTCGCGCGCACTGCGCTGAAGACATTCTTCCACCAAAATGAGAGTACTCCCGTTGTTTACGGAATGTCCCTACAATACACATCGCGCGCACTGCGCTGAAGACATTTTTTTCAACAAAATGAGAATACTCCTGTTGTTTACGGAATGTCCCGACAATACACATCGCGCGCACTGCGCTGAAGACATTTTTTCAACAAAATGAGAATGCTCCTGTTATTTACGGATTGTCCTGACAATACACATCGCGCGCACTGCGTTAAAGACATTCTTCCAACAAAATGAGAATACTCCCGTTGTTTAAGGAACGTCCTGAAAGCCACGTGCACAGGCTGTAACATTGGCCTTTTTTCAATTTGTGCACAGTTTTATCTATTCCCTTCTATGTATTTATCTCTACTCAACTTTAACTTTATTCAAAACTTGTCTCCTATCAACCGTAACGATGTTCTTCTATTAGCGACGCAAACTTAGTAATTGTTTTTATCATTCTAAACAGACATAACAGCGCGAGTAGCAACACTAACTCTCATTGTTAAAACGCTCACGGCCTTTCAAGGGTTTATGTCACAATGCCTTAAAACAATAAGGCATTTCAATGTAAAGCTGGTTTAACAAGATTTCGGTACGTAAGGCTAAGACGTGTAGTAAACACAGTTACTGTGGTCGATATGACAGAAGAATGGTGTCAAAAACTTAAATAAAATTATTTTTAACCAGTTCCAATTTCACTCTTTCATAAATCAATCATATTAAACAACTGAATACGTAAATAAGCGCGCAATGAACACAAATAATTATCTATCAAGGAGGCTATGGAAAACGTACGTTTCCTTACGAATATACATAAGTTATGAACTCGAATCCAAAAACTACTACGTTGTGAAAATTATAATTTTACAAGAACAGTATAGATTAAAGACTGATATCGAACTTAATAAGTCACAATGAGACTGAATACGTAAATAAGCGACGCAATGAACACAAATAATTATCTATCAAGGAGACTATGGAAAACGTACGTTTCCTTACGAATATACATAAGTTATGAACTCGAATCCAAAAATTACTACGTTGGGAAAATTATAATTTTACAAGAACAGTATAGATAAAAGACTGATATTGAACTTAATAAGTCACAATGAGACGGATTGCTTAGAATCATAGCAGAAACTGCTGTGATAAGGGAATTAATGCGTATACGCA